AAAACAGCAATCTATGCTCTGTCTACATTATCAATATCTGTTTTTTTTATTTTAATTTGCCCATATATGGGAATGATGTTATATTAATACCCATTATTATGAGCAAATCACACGTGTTTGTCACAAATCATCGTAATGTTTTTTTGTTTTTTGGGTTTTTTTTTTTCAGCAATGCTATAAGCCATAGTATTAAATGGTGATCATTTTTACTCAACAAACTCGTTAGCGTGACAGTTTTCAATGTTTTATTCATTATTATGCAGTGTACGCCAACATATTTTTGTATCTATCAAGAAATTAATTTTACCTTGTATTAAGCTAACGCTTTAAATAATTGAAAATGACAACGAAAATTAATTTAACTTTATAGTGAGTGTACTGAGATTCGTAGACGTATAAATTGATTTATACTTTCTACACCGTAGGGCAAAAATAACATTTACGTCACTTCTAAAAGTGATGTCACTGTACAGAATACATATTAGCACAAAGCTCTCCACTACATAATGGTAAAAATATAGGAAGTACAAAAAATAAGCCACTTGAATCAGAGAGGACTAAAATTTTAAACACAAACTCTGGCATGTTAATGCCCTGTAGTTGGAATATTTGCTAGTTAACCATAGGCCTAAGCTTATAATTACCGGTATAAGGATTAGCGCGGTACAAACGGAAACTCAATAGCCTACACGTGTATATTGCTTGTATACATTTCAATGATTGTGGATTAAAGGTTATTCAACTAGGCATGAAGGAAAGGCCTAGGAGGACAGTACTCGATGTATTTTATTATTCCAAACGTTTAAAGGCAGGATAACTACCAATATGGTTTTTTTTTTTAATATCAGTTAAACATTTTAGAAATTTTGAAATTGTACTGGCTTCTGGACACCATTAAAAATAATTTTGTTGTACAAACACAATGCAAACATGCATTGAAGTAATTATTTTTCACTTAGTATCTTTATGTATTTTCTCATCACTTAGTATCTTTATGTATTTTCTCATCACTTAGTATCTTTATGTATTTCCTCATCACCTTAATATATGCTATATTTTTATATCCTCTTTAAAATTTTTAAATGTTGTTTGTGAATTTTTAATGCCTTTTTCTTAATTTTTAATTGATTGTAAATTGTGAGCAATTTAGCCTCGGCTACAATTCGTTTTTTGTCAATTGCTTTCTCCTTTTTGTATTGTGTTGAATAAAATATACCATGAATAATAATAATAAAAAATATGTGACATTGAATGCAAAATAAATCAAATCAAATCAAATATTTATAATATAGACAGTATATATATATATATCGTAAATATTTGTATAGTTTCATCTGGTTTGCTTATTATTGTTGTAAGATCCATTGTGCTTAGTTTATTAACTATATATATATTTCATTTCATTTTAGATATTTCGTCCAAAAAACAATATAACAGACGAAACATAATGGCAGAGAGATAGAGGGGGTGGGGGAAATTCAATTGGCCTTACAGGATTGCCAAAAAAGTTAAATAAATCACATTTTAGTGGCTCTCCTACACCAATGATAACGTTAATTATCATCATAAGTCAATTTAGATATACTCATTTCAAAATAGGCCTACATATAGGTAAATTACAAAAGCATCTTCGAAATCATTGTCAAAAAGTGCACTTAATAAAAATAATAATAGTATTATATTTTTTATTATTATTAATAATAATAATAATTGAAATAATTGAAATACAATCAATATAATGCATGAAAGTTCAAATGAACCTACATTGAACATGGCAAAATGTGTTGTCATATGAAGTATTTATGGACCGTCACTTAGTCCACCGTACCGTAAAATAAAAATTATTATTTGCCCATGGCCTGTATGACACAACACGGAATTTAACGTCGGAGATGGGGTTGAATACGGGAAATTATTATAAATGAATATTTTTTATCTGTAGGAAGTTGAGGCAGTCGCTTGGAGGGAAAAGGCAATGGTACCTTAAAAAATGTGTTCATGGTTGCTGATTAATATTCAGAGCGTTAGAGAGCTTAGGTCTTCCCATGACTTCGTTAATACAGATATTTAAAATTATGGCTGATCTAGGATTCAAAAGGCTCTTTGTAGCCTCAGCTTCGAAAATACATTTTGCAACAAAAGCAATACATTATATTCAAAACTTTTTCAACAGATTTAACAGATATCATTTCAACAAACATTAATCATCCAAATGATAATTATCCAAACTGTGGTCAAAACTTTGGTTTTCATTTTATTCCGAAGAATAAGCTACTAAACATACAGGTCAAATAAAAAAAAAAGATTAAATCACGTTTGTCGTCGTTAATCATTGTACAAGTTAAACATATATCATCAAGAAACATATTCAGTTCGGAGTAAAGTTAAATCCCTTTGATATTTTTGGGATATCACACAAATTGTTAATTACATTATTTTCAGTCTATTTGTGATTATCGTCAGCTACATTTTCCAATAGGTATATATAAACGGTCGATGAAACGCTCTTTTCAAGCAATATGCAGTAACATGGGTTTTTTTTTTCTGTTGTCCTAAAAGTGTAGGTCTACTTGTTCGCCAGAATCTGCCAATAGGAGAGCGGATAACAAGTGCTACGGTCAATAATCGAATAACTAAATAAATATTTTCTCTATAAATAAATGCCTGCCAACCGTCGATCTAAATAAACATAGTAGTTGGTTGGAATTGATTAGTAATCAACACTGTGTACTTTAGTACATGTTCGTGCCGTATTATCCGACTATTATGTTGATGATCTCGTAAGGATTACTCTCAATCGAATTGTAGAGAACGCCCTCATAGGGACATAAATTAACGAAGACAACCCGGAATCCAAGTATGATGTAATTCTCCTTAACTTTCTCCTACGTATTATGATGAAAAAGAAAGTTCTATCTTACATATAAATGATGAAAATAGGCCTACTAATTATAGGCCTGAGTTGCTGATGTTCATGACTGGCATCGCTTAATGATATAATTATATTGGCGATACACCAATCGAGCGAAAGTGTTCAATTTTCGAAGACACGTTTGGCTCGATCAAAATAGGGTAGCACTGTCATCACTGAAAAAAAAAGTACAGTACGTCTGCTGAATTGTAGAGTTCAAATCTCAAAAACGTGACGTAGAATTTGCTCTAATAGGCCTAATGATAATCGGAGTTTTAAAGAATATTAGCTTCTTGTTTTCTAATGCCGGTCAAACATTGCGTAGTACGACAGTCGGCAAGGAACAATCTGCACTTAGTAGGTGAGCACTTGACGAACGCAACGCCGTCTGCTTTTGTTGGGTGCAATAAGAGCGCACTGTCATTAAAACGATCCGCTGTGTTCGCCTGGTCGCGTATTCTCCATCATCGGCCAACGACAGTCTGCACAGTGTGTGCCCGGCTTTCATGTACCGAGTGCAGTGGGCTAAGAAAATTCGTATTAGGCCCTAAACATAATTAGCAAAATACAAGAAATAAGATTGTGTTTTTTGACAGAGCTTAATTGATAAAAAAAAAATACATATAAATTTTAAGAATGTCGCCAGATTTTTTGGACACATATTTGAATTAATAAAAAATAAAAATATGGTAGGCCTATTTCATTTTCAAATTATTAATTATAAACAGTAATGATCACCTGTTTGTAAGAATTTCGTAATATTAATATTACATTCCAATGATACGGTAGCTGTTCACCTCTGACCTGAAGAAGCTGGCGATGGTTGAAACTGAATTGTTTTATTTCTCTCTCAATGAAATTTACAGTTATATAGCCTAAAACTGTTATTCCCGTTAATTAAGTATATTATATTTGCAGATAGGCCTATAGTGTTCTTATTATTGAGTACTGTATTGCATCGAATAAGAGTAAATTATCTGTTTCAAATAAAGACGTAAATTCATTTAAACGTTATTTCAAGGCGTCTACATACCTTATCCGATCACATGGAAAACTTATAGGATGTTTACATTATAATCAAAAATAGAAAAAGAAAAAATAGTTATGAGTGTCACGTACACAATCATAGGATTATGACTTGCTGCGTTCATATTGTTATCATGTCACGTCTGTCAACATAATACGTCATTTTATGAATTATGACGACATAAATAAAAGTTTTTCAAACGGTTGATCGATGTAAGTGTCTTTAAGATATAACGGGTGGTATAATCTGTAAAACTGGAAATCCATATTTAATTTCAACTATCTTAAGCATTTGAGTGACATGGCATTTGGCGTTTGGGGTGACTGTACTTTAAAAAAACATACTTTATAGTAACTTATTAAATTACATAAGACAGATAGAAATAATTCAGGTTTCAGGTGAAAATGCACATTGTGGTCGGCCCGCCACTGATATCAAAACTGGCCACCATCTTAAAAAGGTTTAATACCCGAGATACAGGCACATCATGACTATATGGGCACCAGTTTTGTTTTGTTTTTTCAAGAAAGTATTTGAGATTGTGTACCGACCTTTATATGCCATTATCATGCCCATATATGGGCACATCACACACATTTTTCACATAAAATTTGATAGTTGCGGATAAAGCTTTAAATGATGCAATAGTTTTAGTCTCTCTGCAATAATCTGTTGATCAGCTTTTCTGGTTATTTTAATGATAGATTTTGTATTATTCTGGTTTTTTTTTTCTCTGTTTACAACGCATAGAGACTATGATGCGCAAAACAAGTCCTAACCATTACCGTTGAATAAATGGAAACTATTGTGTTACAATCTCGATACTTTTCTATGAGCATTTTAAAGGTTTCAAATAATTTCACAATCTATGTATACAAGGAAATAAATTTCGCCTTCTATTTTTCTATTGAAAGACAAAAACTTTAACGTACTAAAATATACAAGTAGTAGATTCAAATGTTGAATCTTATTGTTTATTAACTAAACACAATCGTATAGCCTTTAAGTTGAATATTATTAGCTAACCGAATTTTCAAAAGTCAATACGTGTTTCTTTAAATGCTAAATTTAAAAATTAGAATTTATCGCAAAAATTGATACGGTACGTAAAACGTTAAAATTTAATCCAAGCCGAAGGGTAAAAGATAATGTACAGAATAAAAGTACATTGTAAATTGTTGAGAAGCACGTTATGCCGCAGCCGAACTTAAAGTGGAATTTCCACAATTTACACGTAACAAAACGATATAAGTTTCAACCCCGGAATTCTCAATACTCAAAGAACGCACAGTCTTTTTCCAGTTAAGTCTCATTTATTCCATAACAATTATGAAAAGAAGTATGTGTTGCTGCCAATGGCAAGGCGAAATGTTTGCCTACATGTAACTTAAATATAAGTGATCGAACAAAATATTGTAATGTTAACATTATGTGATGCGCTGTTCGTTGTGATTTGAATTATCCTCTTCAGAGCTGTTGTTTTCGTTGACTGGAAATGTTAGGTAGTTGGTACTTTTGAGGAAAATCACCATGGGCGGCCTCAAAATGACAGTCTGGCAGGATACAGGGCCATTAAAACGTTCATCGTTGCTTACCGGTAATGAAATAGCGCCACCATTTATTTTCAGCTGTAAGTTTGGAATCCTAGGAATGAAAGAAATATAATCAGGGCTACACATTTCAAAGAAATATATTCTAATAAACTGCTTTTATCCATGGTTCTTAAAGCCCCATTCCCTGCAAAATTTCAATTGTTAAGAAAAATCTGATTTTTATGTTATAAAGATTTATATTAATACGAAATCGCTAGTTTAACTTTAACTTTAGACATTCCTAAACATGAAAAAATAATATGTAAAATAAAATTTGATTTCAAAATAAATGCGGATGATTTTTTTTATGTTTGATTTTACGATAAGTCTGCGAAGAATTATAGTAGGCGCCGGAAACATTAGCCTATCCAAAACTGCTATGCTAGGTCTAGCAAGCCTTAGGTTCTGTTATCACAAATAAAAACGGCCGATATGTTGTTTTCCGTTGCTAGTATTGACAGTTATGAAATACAATATTTCATAGGAATTATTTCAAATTTGTTAGAAAATGATTCTGACCGAGATTTTGACAATTAAACAAACATATCTCAGGCCTACTCGATCGAACGCAGTGAGTACAAAAATTAACGTAATTAGAGAGGACGCACTTAATTGACTGTGTATAAAGTATACGTAAAACCGAGAGCATTCCATGGATGCGAACTACAACCTCTGAATTTGCCTAGTAACGAAGAATTCGTCGAGGAAATGGTAATCTCCTATGAGAAATAGACTGTATTTCTATTTATTTTATTTTTTTTATTCTTTTGCATAAAACTGAAATTTAGGCCAATATTTTCCATGGTTTATAATAATTAAAGTAAAGCACATACATTTTTTTTTCTAAAAAAAATAGAATGTGAATCGAAAAATCTATGCTACCTGTGAGCACTTCATGACGCGAGGCGCCTGCTGATTGTCGTTGGGACGCCAAACGGAGCACATTATCATTAAATACAATCCGTTGCGTGCGCCTCTTCGCGTTTGGTTCTCTGCGGAATCACGGCGGCCCACCGTCAGCGCATGTGTGCCAGGCTTAAGTCATCAACTAAAGGCCAACTAAGACAGCGTCGTCAGACGCAGCCCGACGCGATTTGTTGTCGCATTGGGTCTGTGGCTATGTTCCTACACGGCAGCTGACGGTTAGCAGGATCCGGATCCTGCTAACCGTTAGCTGCCGTGCGTCCATGCGAGAAAATCACGATCCGGATACCAACAATATGATGATCGAATCACTGGCCAATAAGAAACTGGAAATTGTAAACGCGTGCGTGTGATTGGTTGATGATAGAAACGCCCTCAACTTGCTAACCGATAGCGCTTGCTAACCGTTAGCGTATCCGGATACCGCTCACGGTTAGCGCTATAACCGATCGGGCGTTCTCACGCAGGTGGTAACGGTTATCGCTAACGGTTAGCTCCCGATCCGGATACTAGGGCTCTCGTGAGAACCAGGCTAAAGTGAGTTAAACGCAGACTCGATGGTGTGCGTCGTGGGCAGTCGCGTCGTAGAATATTAAACATGTTTAATATTTCTCACGACGGCTCAAGACTGTCCCCGACGATGATTCGCGTCGGGCTGCGTCGTACGACGCAAGACACATCGATTCAATTCAGTTTTCACGATAACTTTCAAAGTTTAGTTGGGAAATGATAGGAATGGTATTATCATGCGTTTGGTAATCTAAAACATATTATCTCCTTCTAAAATGTTGTTGAAAGATAATAACTTAGACAATTTAAGCTATTCAAATACGGTACTATATGCATAATATTTCAAGTTTTAGTATTGAAATACACACATTATAATTAATGGTCAGAAAATATAATAGGCTTAGTTGTAATTACCTGTTCCAAAACTTGACTTTTACAATTGGATCTCGTGCCCCTGTGCTCCTTAATCTTAAATCAAAAAGCCTCGAACTTAGTAAATCTGCATCAAATATATCACACTTCATTATGATACCAGCATTTTTTACATAACCACGTTTTCCTCCAAAACTCAATACTCCGGAATCCAGCATAGATGCATGAAAAACATCAGTCGCGACAGGTAGAGGGCGGTAAATGTTATACTGAAGAATTTTTCCTGTTTCTGTTAATGTGAATGTGCTACCATCACCCGTGGCAATGTTGATAGCATAAATCTTTGATGCATTATCTGTTTAAAAATATATTTATAAGAGCTATTAATATAACCATTCTGCTGTTTATTGCTGGAAATGTTAACATTAACTGGAGACGTTTTTGACTGTTAACTTGTTAACTTGAGAAACTACCGTATTAATACTGGAGATATTTTACCCGTACTAGTTAAAAACATTTACTACAAGGGAATAACTGTTGTAGTAAAAAGTACCAAGCAGGCTCGTAGCTAAGTGTGGGTACAGTGGTCATTGAGAAGCTAAGCTAACTTTTACAATTTATTTGGCGCATATAAAATGCAAAGTCTTAACGTCAAACTGATGCACTATGAATACCATTTTGTGTAGTCTGTGTACTATTTCAGACCATCTATAGTTGCCACATTCTTAATTTGTTTAACATCAATACAAACCATGGTGAAGACTGGAAGAATATACTCTCGCACTTGACATCCAAAGTACACCATCAATTCTCTTCTTTCTTTTTTTTACAAATTAATGTTTTCAATTAAGAAACGCAAAGAGCGTACTGTAAGCTACGGTTACCAAATCTTCTTTTAACCAATATAATTCAACTGAGCTAAATGTGCAATTTTTTGGCACTTTAACCCTCTCGGAATCGTCATGTTCTTTCCACCCGCAAAAGATTCTAGTTATTGTTATTATAAGTTTCAGGATGTCTAAAAGGATGATAAGGGCTCCGTGAGTGATCTAAAGAAATGCAAAGAGTGCATTTAAAACATTGAAATACATTTTACATTCTCTAATTTACTGAATGTTCAAAGTTTATTGCATTTGACATATTTTAGTGAGTACAGTACACGAAACTTGCTTTTCCGGTAACATGATAAAAATACTATACACAGAATGCGCAGAATAGCACACACTGAAGTAAAGAAAGAAAATTTAATAAGAAAAACATACTGCAAAAACAAAACAAAAGAAAAGTGTTATGAAAATATAAGTAATTGATACCAGTTACTTATATCAACACCCGAATTCTTAAAACGAACTTCAGTCGAACTTTGAACTAGAACTTCATTTAGTCCTAGTTGCAACATCAACTTCAATTTCTATTCATAAACAAACGTAGTCGGAGTTCTAAATCAAGTTCCTGGTTTTAGTTCAAATGGAGACGGCTTTCAAACGACGACTATCAAACTATCCAATGAAAAGAGCTCATGTATAAGCAGACGAAATTTTGGAGATCCGGTAACGCGGATGAGTATTAAGCTGCCATCTAACGTTCAAAAAAATATTTCCTCATAATTCATATAGTCTACCAGAAATACGGATTTCATTGGACAAAATTGCAACAAATCATTTTATGTTCTAAATATAAACTTAATTATGTGTATAAAACAACATACTAAAAGTTTACCAAAATAGGACCAACATAAAGGTGTTTTTTATACAGTATAACCAAAAGTTCAGCACTATTTGAAAATCGACTTTTACACGATACGTACTGCAGTTTTCTAAATTTTCTTGATTATTGGTCAACAGTTTAACAGTTAGGTCAACGTAGGTCATATCTGTTTGTTGCCGGAAGAGAGAGACCCGCGCGCGAGCTTCGCGAGATTTGCTGGGGGAATCAGAGGAATATTATACTCCCGGTTTGCAGGAATTACAGAGCTATAAATACTGGAAATTAATTGGAATCAAGAGCAGTTCCATGTACGACCCAGACAAATGTTATTGTAAAGTCAAGGCCTGAGACATTGTAATAACATCTCATATTTTTAGGCCCTAGCTTAGGCATCCCCATCTTTTGCTTCCCGGTTCAGTCGCGCACACTTTGAAGTGTGCCATTTTTTTCGCATGACAACGTTTTCTCGGCCAACGCACGCATTTAAACGTATAGAGAAAATCTTACGGTATTAATGTATTAAAGTGTAATGCACTGAAAAATTGCTTCCTTAGGAGAACTATTAAGTTAAGCCCGATCGAGGGCGGCGCCATCATTGTTGTTGTGCTGAAACTACGTGACCGCAACGTGAGAGGATTTCGTGCAAACCATTGCATGTGTCTAGCAAAATAGGTTAATTTTGCCTTTTGGAAGCTAAACTTAATGCCCCTTTTCTTGAATACACTGAAGATACATCTGGCCTAGTTATATAATCACTTTTATTCTTTTCACTCTATTGTAAGTTACAAAAACCACGTTTTTAGTGAGGTAAACATTTCAAGTCGGCGATTTAGTCTGACCCTAGCTAGGCTGACTAAAAAAATCGGCCAGCGGAGGTATCATTTTTGTTGAGGTTCGCGTGATTTAGTCGTAGTGACCTAGTCAAGTTTCGTTTTAAGAATACGAAATGACGTAATTTTGAAATTTTAGCTTCAACTACGACTATAAGTTCGTTTTAAGAATACCGGGTAACACTTAAAAATTAACAAAACAAAAGAAAAATGTGTGGATGGAAACCAGAATATGTTTGCAGGAAAACTTTAAGGCATGATCACCGTTAAAAATCAGAGTTAAATATATGGGAGGGAAAAAAAAACAAAACAAGATAGACCAAAGGGTATAACATTAGGTCTATGTAATTTAAAAAAATGTTTACTGTTTATCTAATTTAGAATGCTTTAGCATTAAAAACAAAATTAAATAAGCCTCCAACGAAGTAACATTTTATTTTTGGAAACATAATCAGAGATTCAACGATAAAATCGCGTTTATATAATGCTGTTTCTTAAGCGTTGATGTTTTTCCTCTCACCAAATTTTATGTTTTAACTTTGTACTTCTTTTTATAATGTAAATGTTTATTGTTAGGCCTATGTACGGCATTATTCTTAAAATATTTTTTTTGTTTTTTGAAATTGGTGATTATTCTAATTGGTTTTTTTAAAATTAGTATTATTTTATCTTATTTACTCTTAAAACAAAAGTTTAATTTTTATGTAACAAATACTGCCAAGATGATTTTGAATAAGTGTGTACTTTACTAATTATGCATGAATAAAATGAAAATAAATGAGGTATTGTTTGCTTACATTTTTGGAGGTAATCGTTGACGTCAAGTATATTTTATTATAATTAGGCCTATAACGATACTGCAATTAGGCCTAGGCCTAGGCCTTGCTAATTTAAATTGTGTAGGCAGGGATATCTCAGAGGCTCGTTCTATACCTAGCCTAGGCCCTACTCCTAATAAGTACACAGACCAAGAACTGAGCAAATCTTACCGATTTTGTTTACTTGGACAATATTCATGCTACATGCTGTATCAACATTCCGAATGCCACAACCTATAGTTATTTCACTGCGTGACGTTGTTGAACCACTAATCATATCATCGACACCGACATATTTATTGGCCTGGCTTTCTGGTCTCGGCCTACCTTGAAGTGTAAAGTGACTTCTCCTTAAAACTTTACCATCATCAGCAATGTATTCCACTCTTCCGTTGACGGTAATATGTCTATTGTCTTCCGTTGATGGTGGCCCTACATTGTTTGTATTAGTATTACTGATTTTAGCTAATAGTTGTCGTAGCCGCTTCATGAATTTTGATGAATGATTACTTTAATCAACTAGTTAACGTACACCGCTGCATCCTGATTACAATAATTAAAAAAATAATATTATTTTTATACCACTGGTTTTGCTAGTTTGGTGGTTTATTGGTTTAAACCTAAACACTGTGTGCGCCGACGATAGAGTACAGCACACGCGGATCCTGAACTAAACTGAACGCATGCGATACTGCTGATTTCGAATTCGATCGCGAGTTCCATTGGACGCCGAGCTAGAAGCAAAGAACCAAAGAGTATAAATAGAACAAGAGAGCCAACAACGCTCATTGGGAGCGTAAAAAAACGATACGCTCTACGCAGCTAGTGTAGGACGCCAACTAACGCTTGTATGTGTTTTATTACCATAGAGATATAATAAGAATACTAGTGCGCTAACAGCAATGCATTCGATGTTCGAAATACGCAGAGCTGTGTGTGTGTACCATCCAAGATGGCTGCCATAGATTCAGCCAATCAAATTTCCC